AGGAGCAGGAAGGGTCTAGACTCGAAACGTCAGCTTTCCTGCTCCTCTGATGCTGCTTGGCCTGCTGTGTTCATCCAGCTCCACACCTTGTTGTCTCAGATTCTCCAGCATCGGCAGTTCCTACCATCTCGGCTACAATAATAATTGCAATTAGTGTGCCTCATAGTTGCAACAATTCCGGACAACAGCAAATGCAAAAGTAATTAATTTGCTGTGAAATACTTAACAATTTTGCCAGACTGATAGGATGCATCATAGAAGTACATTTTCGTTTTCATTCAAAAATATTAGGAAGGTTATTAAAACAAAAGGTGGCACTGAGCTTAATTTCAAAGGACTGCAGTAGTTATGTTCCCTTTCGCTTTTTGTGTAATGCTTAGCTTTAGTTGTAGGACGTCTAGTGGTGCAAGAATTTAATAATCGTCCAGTGACCAGCATGTCTAGTGGACTGAATGCTGATTATGACAGGACATGGGTTGGGTGTAGTGCCAACAGCCAAAGAAGGTCAATGTACAAAAAAGAAAGAGGACAACATCTCCTCACATTCAAGTCATTTCCTCATCTTCAAGTCATTCACAGAAATGACTTGTGCTCAATGAGAAATAATTAATTTTTCATTGTTTAGTGTTGCCAGAGCACTGAGTGAACTCATTGCTAAAAAGCACCAGTTATTTAGACTACAGGAACGTCAAAGAGGCAGTCAAACTGGGCAGCACTCCTTCAGTACTGTGAAGTTTTGAACTGAATTCTCAGCTCACTTCTTCTCGTGGAGCTTCAATTTGTAACTACCTGAGTAAAAGGCAAGAATGCAAATTGAACCAAAGTGAACTTGTGTCTACTTCGTAGCCAATGGGTGGAATTTAATGCCATCTTGAGACAAGTTGAAAGAACAGGGAGCATTTATTTGGGAATCACGTTACCAGGTTGGAACTCAAGCTGTCTCTGCCAGAAAAGCACACTTCATGATGATAGCTTGTGGATTCCCAGACAGCACTGATGGCAATTCATAGCTACTAGCCTTTTATTGGCACTTCGTGCAACAGGCCTCCCCAAAGCAGGAAACATGGCTTTCTCCCTAGGTCTCCAACAGGTGTGAAACTTCCATTACCCAGTTTAAGTACAAAAACAGAAGTCGCTGGAAAAGCTCAGCAAGTCTGGCAGCATCTGTGAAGAAAAAGTCATAGTTAATGTTTTGGGTTCAGTGACCCTTCCTCAGATCTGGCATTTTTATTTACCCAGTTTTAAGTACCCTTGAAGAATGGCCACTTTTAAAAAGGTATCAAAAATACAGCTAACATCCATAAAACATTGCCCTCGAGAGAAATCCTCAGAGAGAGGAAATTTGAAAAGAAAATAACTTGGGCAAAAATAACGTGAAATTAGGGAGATCAAATTAAAGTTTTGAGATGAAAATGAAATGGTCTAAAGATTTTGGCATAATCAAGAAATGAAAAAAAAAAGAGGAATCTAAATCGAGATGAATGAATTATGGATTAGAATATTACTACAAGAATTATTAGTAGTAATTACATGGTCTTATTGACTCATATTTTAATCTCACTGGTAAGAGTACACATAGAAACTGTTGGTGCAAGGCGGCATGGGGGGGGTCATTGTGGATAGAAGTGGCAGAAGATGAGTGTATGAAAATGCACTTTTGTCCTTCCAATGATGGCGAAGGTTGGTAAATACACAAAAACCATTTTGATTGATGTTGAACCGGAGTACCTTTTGGCCCATGTAATACTGTCCTACACAGGCCAAAAGGTACTCCAGTTTAACATCAGTGAACATGGTTTTCAGAAGATTATACGACTTTTATTTGCACATAAATGTAGACAATGAATACTTGCAGATACTGCCAGAAGGATTATAGACTGAATCAAAACCAGTGAAGTGAAATCTACCTAGGAAGTGAAAAGGCTATGAACCACTTTTGATAAATAACCTGAGAAAAACAATTCCAACTTACCTGGTCAGTGTACCAGTAGTAAGGAGTAGGATCAATGCTTTCACGTTTGTACCCTTCCAATAGTTCCTCACTGTCCCAGATACGCATCGACCCTCCTACAATCTCACCAACATTTGGCATTAGGACATCAACCTCAAAATTAAACGAAAAACATTTTATCTTAACACACAGTGTTGAAAATTACAATATTTACTTGTCTATGGGACATGAGCATTGCTGGCAGTTTCTTGCCCTCATCACCTTCCTTGAGGGGATGGTGATAGTGAGGCTCCATCTTGAACAACTGAAGTTTGTGTCAAGCAGGTATACCCACAGTGCTGCTGGGATGGAAGTCTAAAGATTTTTGACTCATCAACAGGGAAGGAACAAAGACAGTTCCAAGTCAGGAATGGGTGAAACTTGAACCACAATGGGACCAACATCCTTGCGGGAGATTTGAGATTGCTGTCGGTGCACTTTTAAATGAATTTGGCAGAGAATTGGAAGTGGAGTGGAGGTGCAATAGTGGGTGATGCACAGACAAATAAATCATATATAGTCAAGCTAAGATGAGAGCTCAACCAGGTTTGATGGCATTTGTATTAATGGGAGAAGTCTCGTGAGCTGGATAGATAAGTTGAGGGTGTTGATTAGCACATGATTTTTGATATTGTTGTTATCAGGGAGACATGGCTGGGGAGGGGTAGGACTGGCAGCTCAATATTCTGGGCTATAAATCTTCAGGCAAGACAGGGAGAATCGTAAAAGAGGTGGTGGTATCACAATATTGATCAAGGAGTCAGTCACTGCAAAAAGAGAGTTGATATCTTTGAAGGTTCCTCAATTGAAGTCACAAAGGTAGTAGACCTTAAAAACAAAAAGGGAGCAATCACGTTGTTGGGAGTGTATTAGATACTGCTAAACAGTGTCAAGGAGTGTTTGAAGGGTAGCAATGTAGGCAAATTTCAAAAAAAGAGGTATTAAAATGACAATAATAATAGTAGGGACATTCAACATCCTGAATTTTAAGTGGAATAGACAAAGTATGAAAAGCTTAGAAGGGGTGGAATTCTTAAAATTTTAAAGTCTACATATGGAAAGTCCTAAGACAGGGCAGTGTTGGACCTAATTTTAGGAAACAAAGGCAAGCAAGTGGTAGAAGTGTGAGTGGGAGAACATTTCTATGAAACAGACTATATTATTAAATTGGAAAGGGCACAGAAAAGATTGACAAGGAAGTTACTAAGACTGGAGGCTTTGAATTATAAGATGAGGCAGGACAGGCGGAGACATTTTTCACTGGGGCAATTTAGAAAGCGAAGCCAAAATTGGCTTAGTGACAGGAGGTAGAGGGTGATGGTCAAAGTTCATTTTTGTGACCGTAAGAGCATGTCCAGCATCCCGTGTCCAGCAGCATACTGTACTGGGTCCCTTGTCGTCTGCATTTATACATTAATAATCTGGACATGAATACAGGTGGTTTGATCTCCCAGTTCTCAGATGACACGAAAATTGGTGGTGTGATAAATGGCAAGTAAGAAAACCTTAGGCTACAGGATGTTAGACTATGGCAGACTGGTTAAATGCGTACAATGATTGCAATTGGAATTTAATCCTGAAAAATGCAAGGTGTTACATCTTGTGAAGACTAACAACGCAAGAGAGTACGTGATGAATGGTAATACCCAAGGCAGCACAGAGAATCAGAGAAACCTTGGTGTGCACGTCCATAGATCGTTGAAAGCACTAGGATATGTGGATACGGAGGTTATAAAAGCATATAGGATACTTACCTTTTAGCCAAGCTATGGAAGAACAAAATAAACAAGTTATCATGGAGTTGTGTAAGGTGTTAGTTAGATCACAATATGTGCAGTTCTGGCCTAGATCTAGTCCACTGTTATTATGGGGAAATCCTACACCATATCATGGACATGAAATGATTAGCCTCCAACAACCACAAGTAGAACAATTTACTACAATATCACTGGTGGAAAGAAGGTTTCCTCTAAAGGGAGCATCTCGATCTAGGGGACATTTTTTAGACATAAGGGGTCACCCACTTAAAATTGAGAGGAGGCCAAATTTTTTCTCAGAGCATCAGGAACCTTTTGAACTCTGCTTTCATTGCTTTTTTAGGAAGAGAATCTTTGAACATTAAGACAGAGGCCGATAGATTCTTCATAAGAGTTTTGAGGCGGGGGGGTTGAAAGGTTATCAGGGGTAAACAGGAATGCAAATTTGAGGCTATAATAGATCAACCATGATCTTATAAAATGGCAGAGAAGGTTCAAGGGGCTGAATAGTTGACTCCTGCTCCTTGCTTGTGTGTACAAACTATAGGGAACTGCCGTCAATCTTAATATTGTTTTATCCTTCCTACAAAGGCTGGGGACTAATTTTGCAGCGACCAACAACCTGGTTAAACTTCACTGAAGTTAACAATTTTCAGTCACGAACCACTCATTTCCACTGTTATGGGTGGGAGAAACTCAATGAACCAATTAACCTCAATTTCACATCTACATTGCTTTCTATTTGGAGTTACTCAGTCATGATCATCAATGCACTGGCTGATCTTATGCCTCCTCATCCAGAGGTAAAAGACAAATGGTAATCCCCTAACTATGAATTTGATGGAGACCCACCAGAAAAACAGACTGTGAATCAAACCTGGGATCATTGTAGCAAATCGTGATTCAGTGCTGCACCAGACGTGTGTTTATCCTTGAAGTTGCAACAATCTACTTCTGAAGTCAATGACTGTAGTTCCAAGCAAATTAGAGCTCTTTGATAAGATTAAAGAGCCCTGACATCTTGGAAATATACACAAACAAAACCCTTCACTGTTTTTCAGGGATAAATGCATCGTACGGTGTTACTAAATCATACAAAGACTGACCGACCATAGGTTCAAACTCTGTTACATTCCAGATCAGGTAAATTCAACTAACAGAATATAAGGGATATAAAAACTGACTAGGAAAATAACAGAAAAAAAAAGTCAAAGTACCAGATTCTATCAGTATACAATGATAAATACCATACAGCAACACTTGCCTTACAGTGCATATGTACAGTAAGTGGATGAGGACAGAATCACGTTCACACTGACTGGTTTCAAATACGAAGAACTGTCACTCAGTTGAATGATAAAAAAAAGACATTCCTTGAACAAATGTTTCCCGGAGAAAATGAAAACATGCAAATAAAACAAATTCCAAAGAAACTAAATTGAATGCCTTGTAATCATTGTAGTGAAGCAATCATAAGATATTTCTCATGTCTTATGCATCATTTCTGTAATGTAACTTCTGAGTAAGCTACCGCTATCCATGTACATCTGCTATCAAAACCTTCATTGATGTCTTTATCCCCTGTCCTTTCCTAGCAGGATCTCGTTATCCAAGGTGGTTCATTCAAACTTTGCTACCCAGACTCAACTCATTTTCCCCTGATCACCACCTTTGCTATTCAATTCAATCTAGTCTGATGACTTAATCTTAAATTTTTCACCCTAGTTTTCAAATTGCTCCATGGGCTTGCTTCACGTAGTACTGAAATCCCCTTCTCTCTTCAAAGCTTAAAAGCTTTTCATCTGTTAATCTTGCTTCCTACACATTACAGTCACTCTCGTTTCATCATTAATGACTGACCCACTTAGGTCTCAACGATCAGAATTCCTACTCCAAATGCTTTGATTTCTGTCTTCCATAAAGCCAACCTCTTTAACCAAGTTGTTGGTCACCCCTCTCAATTTCTACTTGTTGGACTTCCCTTTGGAGTTTCCATATATTTTTGTGAAGGATTTTGTACTTTTAAATGCGGACATCAACGAAATATTTTAGCACCCTTGATTGACAAAAGATGTCAATGAAGTTTAACATCTCAAATATAACTCCTTCTTTGATTGTCAGTTAACCAAAAGTTATTTTAGGATTAGCTTCAAATACAGATCCACAGTCATTTCACATAAACAAAATCTGAAATGCTCTCACAGATTCAGTAAGCCGACGATCTTCTGGGCAACGCTGCATGTAGAAAGATTTGATCTCAGCGGGAAAACGACACAGTAGTATAGGTTCATTGATTGCATCGGTCATCAGTCTCTCTGGAGCCTCTGGGATATCCTGTGACAGAAAACAAAAACTTCAGACCATTAGAAGTATTAATAGGATCATAGAAGCCCTAGTGTAGAAGCAGGCCATTCAGCCCATTGAGTCCACACCAGCCCTCTGAAGAGCCTCCCACTCAGACCCAACTCTACCCTATCCCCCCTGTAGCCCTGCATTTCCCATGGATAGTCCACCTAGCCTGTACATCCCTGGACACTATGGACAATTTAGCATGGCCAATCCACCTAACCTGCACATCTTTGGACTGTGGGAGGAAACCAGAGAACCTGGAGGAAACCCATGCAGATACAGTGAGAATGTGCAAACTCCAAAAACAGACAGTCACCCTAGGCTGGAATCGAACCCAGGTCCCTGGTACCATGAGGCAGCCGTGCTAACCACCAAGCCATCATGCCAACCCAGTAATAGGCTTCTACTAAAGCAACCTGGATGTTTGCAGTGATGTACATTATCATTCAAATACTTTTCTATTGGGTTTGAAGAAAGTCTAGGTAAAAAAAAATGTCAGACACTGGAAGTTAGCTGCACTTCAAAAGGAACCAAAGTGATTTAGACTCAACTAAAATAGTTAAATTGCCCTGAACTACTCAACCGAAGTACAAGTTTTAAAGATTAAAAAAATGGTTGCTTCATCTGTCTACAGATCATATACCGCTAAGAAAAAAAGATGAAATGTGGGGCACACAGGGAAATGTTTATTATCTTTTCCAGAATCAGTCATGTCATCTTAAGGTGAAGATATGTAACAAAGGTTCTCATCTCTGAAGGACACAAGCAAACCAATTGTGTTTTTAACAACAACATAGTTGTTCGCATGGCAACTTCCTGGTATTGGCTCACCAATGACTAACTTTTATTGATCTAAATTTTGCAATTTGTTTTGGTGGGTTTTAAACTGTCAGAGAGAGAAGAAAACATCAGTTACGGTTTTCTTTCTTTCACACACCAGGAAAATAGATGTCTGTTTATAGAAATAGATTAGCACTTGCAGTGTAGAATAAATTTTCAAAACAATATTATTTTAGGGGACTAAAGGCCTCAAAAGACCAACATACTGCACCCTGTACTCCTATTTATTCCATGTTGGTTGATCATAATCTAATAATTTGCAAATCTGAGTAATCAGTTAGCAAGAGAAATGTTCAGTGTGGCAACATGGATCAATGTATTCAATTCAGCAAAATATGAAAACAGCACTGGACTCAGGCTTTTCTTTCCCCCAGGTTATATTTGAAAGCAGTTTAGCAAACACAAGATTTAAATAGAAACATTTCTATGTTAATTTGTCCATAAGTTGGAAGAAAAAAAACGAAATTTCAAGCAGAAGATACCCTCAAGGTTCCACTATTTCAACAATAGTTCTTCAGTAAAGATGCCACAGCATGTAGGCGTTTACATGTGTGATACATGTGCTTCAAAGACTTACTGTCTCAACACCTCCTCATTCTGCAACACTTGTCTGTTCCCAATGACGAAATGGTCAAACTCCAGGAAAACAAAACACTTACTTCTCCAAATTCATAGAAAGTTCCATCGTCTTTCTTAATATCATGCTCCTTAAGCCATGTGATAGCATCTGTGTAATTCATTCTTTTGAAAGGGCGTTGAGGAGGCTGGAAATTCTAATTGGAAAAAACGAATACAAGAAAAGGGACCAAAAGAATAGAAACTTGAACGCAAGTCAGATACTTTTGAAAAATACGCACTTTTTTGAAAGCTTATTTTTGTTCATTTGTCATTATAAAATTCCTTGAAATACAGTTGAATAAGCTACTTGCAGGACAAAACGTAAGGCAAGTTTACTTACCGGGTTCAATTCACGCACAAGGTCCTGATAAGGTGACTTCAAAACGCGCTCAACCACATCACAGACAAGGAATTCCAAACGGCTGAGAAGCTCATCAAAAGTAATGAATGGACACTCTGCCTCAACATGTGAGTACCTTGAAAATTTAACAGAAATATTTACACACTTTTTGATTTAACTCTCACAGGTTTACATTTTCCAACAGCTGAAGTGCTTAGCTGGGAATATGTGAACAAATACCATTCAGGTTCCCTTCAATTGTCAGTTTGTGTTCAGTTAACTGGCTAATGTTAGGGATATTATGTGTAGATTTGAGGAAGAAGCTGTTACTTGAGATACCACAACGCAGAGATCGCTGGACTTGGTTTCAGAGTCAAAAGATTGTACAGCACGGAAACAGGCCCTTTGGTTCAACTTGTCAATGCCGACCAGATATCCTAAATTAATCTAGTCCTGTTTGGCCCATATACCTCTAAACCCTTCCTATTCATATACCCATCCAGATGCCTTTTAAATGTTGTCGTCATACCAGCCTCCACCACTTTTAGCAGCTTATTACATACACGCACCACCCTTTGCATGAAAAATTTCCCCCTTAGGTCCCTTTTAAATCTTTCCCTTCTCACCTTAAACCTATGCCCTCTAGTTTTGGACTCCCCTATCCTGGGAAAAAGATCTTGCCCCTCATGATTTTATGAAGACCTCCTCAGCCTCCAATGCTCCAAGGAAAATAGCCCCAGCCTATTCAGCCTTTCTCTACAGCTCAAACACTCCAACCGACATCCTTGTAAATCTTTTTTGAACCCTTTCAAGGTTTCACAACTTCCCTATAGCTGGGAGACCAGAATTGCATGCAGTATTCCAAAAGTGGCCTCACTAAAATCCTGAACAGCTGCAACATGACAGCCCAACTTCTATACTCAATGCAGTGACCAATAAAGGCAAGTGTACCAAATGCCTTCTTCACTACCCTTGCCCTTAGGATGATCTGTATCAATTTTCCCAGGCTGAGGCAACTGGTCTTCAAAACCACAAACATTACCTTTATGTCAAAAATGGTGTAGCCACTGGATAGCCTACTCCTTAAATCACCATTAATTCAGTCCTACTCGTGTTTCTTGATGTCACACAAATTTAAGTGAGATAGTAGGAACCGCAGATGCTGG